ATCGGGAATACATGCCGGTCGGAAAAGTTGATTTGGCAGATTGTGGCGGTCGGCAATTCTGCGTGCCGGTCGGCCCCGACCGGCAGCGGCAGATCCCTGGGCCTACGAAGGTCTTACCAGTGTGACTCCCTTGATCATATTCTCGATGTGCGTGCAGACGGTGCGGACGCAGGATAGCTCCTTGCGGGACCCAAACCACTTGTTGACCCGGATCTTCTTCTTGCTGACCCGCTTGAGTTCCACGTTGAGGTGCTTGAAGCTACGGGTCAGCGAGCCCCGCGGTCCCTTCACGGTGACCTGTCGGGCCTTGATGGACACGTCCACTGAAAAGAAATAATAAAGATGGGGCAAGTTAGAAGTCAAGCAATAACGTACAAAGATTGTTATGAACCCGACCCAGCTTTACTCTTCTACGGTGAGAGGTTCGAGTGGAATTTGAAGTTAGTTTGTCTTCTTGACCAAAACAGCAAAACCAAAGACCACTACACATCTCAAGATTCGTCCAAACATTTACCCTAACTACCCCAAATCCATTAGCACTTCCTGGTACATTTTGCAGCTTGTAAGACCGTATGTAATTTAGTTGGACTGAAGTCAACAGTAAGCATGTCACCTACCATTTTCTGGGAGTTGAACGAATCTACTCGACAGTATCGTCTTCATGACTGAATCTGCATGAAGGAAGAATATGAAATTCCACAGCGTATGAAGAGTAGGCTACCACAAGTTTAGGAAAATAAGTTTGACAATCTTAATTCTCTCTGGACTAAGAGACATGCTTGATTATCGCAACAGGAAAAGTTCCATATTAGGACATCACTTGACACCCTGTGCACATACCCTGAGACTTCTATGAAAAATTCTGTGTGTTTTCTATGTAAACATGGTAAATAAATGGTTCAATATTTCTACCACTAAATTTGACTTTTTAAAACATGCTATCCCTTTCTAATGGCTAAAAGCTACTGCGAGGGAAAATTAGTGATGTCCATACCAGAAACTCTAACCATCATGACTTGTACAGAGCAATGACAAGTGACGTCAGTTTGAACCAGGAGGTGTAGTGCAACGAATGGAATTTTTTTTCAAAATACTCTAATGGCAATGTTAATCAGTTATTACATAGAGTTCAAGTTCACTAATAAACTTACACCTTATTTGTCAAAATCATTCCACCAGTCCAAAGATCTAAAAATCTGGAGGTCCCACTCACCGATGTATTTGTTTCAATGGAAATAAAGGAAGGAACCGTGATCTCTGTTTTTGTATCTTTTTTTACGTCCTTCTTAAAATGTTTGGTGCCTTTTTGGGATACATGTATTTACTACCAGAATAATAAACCATTATAAATAAATGGACTCAGGGGAACCTGACCTGAAAAACATAATGTAAAACTGCAAAAGTCTGCACAAATCCACTGAAGAAAGATCACTTGGCCATCTGTTTGCATCATGTCCAAATATTTTTCAATGCTTTTTTCTCATTTTTACCTGGCGAAGTCAGCTCAAATGTGGCTCACAAGTGAATTGTATCTGAAAAAGGTCATTCACGAATAATGGAAAGCTTGGAGCTTCATAAAATGTCCTGCAAAATACGTTGTCTGCGGGCATATTTAGTAATTTCAACACAGCATTTATGGAATTTGGGATACGAGGCACTTGTGAATGATCATTTGAGCTGTGAGAAAAAAACATTGAAAAAAGTTTTGCATTGTAGGAGGACATCTATACCCTGGACGTTAGTTGCAATACAATGTAGACGATGTACAACCTGGGCTAGAGGTTGTAAGTCCAGGTAAAAAAGGAAGGTTTTCTCAGAGAGGGTCACGGTGCTGTAGCTCTGTAAAGTGAAATCAGTATTTGATGGG